GAGCAATTTTAATTAGCATTAAATCCACAACGTATGTAAAGTATTTAATTGGATAAGGAATAATACTGTATTATTTAAAAAATAGCTTCGTTATTTACGAAGCTATTTTTTAAATAATACCTCAACATAAATAATATAATTTTGTAATATTTAAAAGATAAAAATGGTTACTGTGGGCTATCCTTAGGAGATATAAATCGCTGTTTTTTTGTAGTTTTTTTTAAGATATACAATTCCGTAGTACATTTTTTTGATCTATCCCGTAAGGATTAGCCACTGCACTAACAGTGTATCTCATCAAGATGAACATATAAGTACCTACTAAATAGAATAATTTATTTACTTTATGGAATGGAGAGAGTAATTATATATACATTTCTAAATAAAACGTTACTGTGTTAAAGAACTACCACAGCAATTAACATTAGGTATAATATTGTTTTTTAACAGGAGGAAGAAATATTTAATTGATTATCCGGGTTAATACATTTTTGCGACTCAACTTGATTGATATTTTATAGAAATGTGGTAAAATATCTATATCTCTATTATATCTCATAATATTTAAAGCGAATTATGTAAATACGCGGTATTGCAAACTGGCCATATTATTTGTGTTTTTGCAGTCTGAAGTAAACTATTTATTCACATTATTTATTTTCAGGTTGGTACATACCAGGGTTAGAAAAGGATACCATTTACCAGTTTAATACCACATACCAGGATTAAAGATGTATACATGGTCTTATGTTAAGCCGTGACACAACATTGTTGTTCGTGATGTGACGGTAGGTACGTTGCTTGGTACACTACGCGCCACGTCATGCGATACAAGATGAACGAGAAACGTTAAAAAATAATTACTTAAGGTACATAGGTGTAAAGCGTACCTACTTACTACTACCTACCTTTTTTTTTGTTAACGGGGTGGAAGATCCTCATGGATGTCTTTCGCCCATATTGTCAAAGGGGTCTGTAGGATTCATACCGACTAAAAACTACCTCTCTGCTTGCCAATTGTCAACGGCTGGGGCATCTCCAATGAGGCAAAAACAGAAATCGAAACGAAAAGTAAACATTCTCGACAATTGGATATCTAATATTTTTTTATTATGTCATAATAGTAACATCTATTTATCGGTGTACGAAACTAAATGCAAAGGTTTTAAAATTCGAATTACTTACGAAAACATTAGTATGTATAATTTGAATCACTCAAAAACCGTGCGTGGGACGCCGGGCAAATATCCCACACTGGGTGATAGTGTTAGTGGCTGAAGCGAAGGATATTTTAGAGATCACCTGTGTCTCATCCGCAAAGAGTCAACGCCTGGGTGCCACCACTGCAATGTCCAGAGCGTGAACACGACGCTTCACACGCTGTCAGAATGCCCGGCGTGTGTGGATCAGAGTCATGACGTCGTCGTGACTGATTGCAGCCATGGTACAAGTGAGCGCGCGTAGAACTCCGTTAGCTAGGGAAACCGTGGTCACCAAACACGAAGGGCCATATGTAAGCGGTAGATGATTCCTCGGGTTCCGGCGGGGTATCATTACCTTTCTAGGTTACACCTGGTTCCCCGGCTACTACCCGAAATTCATAAATATAAAATAACTCATTGAAATAAGGATAAAAAAACATGATCAGAAATAAAATCCGTAACCACCCTACCCTATCCGAGGGGCGATTTCAGCATGGAAAAGGGGCGGTTCTATGCACTCTCGTTAGACATTCCGCCAGCGTGTGAAGCGCTATGTCGTTAGGGCAGTCATCACAATGATGGCACCATGACGTCCACCCGGAAGGTGAGATCACGAGAGGAAACACGGGGTTTCCTTTTCAGCCACTCTCGTAGGACGGGTCGAGCAGCGTGCCCTATACCACCTACTACAGTTACATTACAACATAAGTACCAACTCTTAGTAAATAATCATGGCAGTCGGGAAAATGACTTGAGGGAAATCACTAATGAATATAACACACGCTCGGTGACCCACGGCAGATATACTGTTCCAAGAGTAATAATAATAATAATAACTTTATTGAACTTCAATTCCTTTGTTACAATTATACAATCCAATAAACATATTATAACCGTATGAGGTGTACAAAGTAGACCCTGCCCACCAAACTAGGTATTCCTGTAACTTGGAAGACAGTGTTCCGCTAATGGCTCGTTCACGGTATTTCATTATAGGTATTTTACATTTATGTTGAAATTTTTAAGGTTTGAAGTTAAAGTAGTGGGACGTACACGCATGAAGTGTTTCGTGTGTATTTGTGTATGTGTGTGTGTGTTTTATATTCCATGATGGAGCAATGCTTCGGTTTGGGCATAGTCTTTTTCTAGTAACCAATTGTGTATATTCTTCTTAACTTCATAGTTATTTAATGTTGTTATTTTAATTTGCTTGTTTACATTCTTGTAAATTAGAAAACTTATAACATACAGCTGTTTCCTGGCGAATGACGTTTTGTGTACTTGTGTGGGGCATATGAGCCTATTTGTTCGCTTAGAGGGATCTTGTGGAGGGAGGTTTTGATGCCTCCAAAGCGTGGCACGTAGCACATAGAGCTGCCTCACCGTAAGTACTTTGGTTTCACCATAAAGCTGTTTTGTGGGATACCCAAAAGGCTTAGCCAGCATCACTTTGAGAACAGCTCTCTGTGCTCGCTCCACCTCCAGAAACCTTGATTTAGCCGCGCCTCCCCACACCGATATACAATAACCGATGACGGATTGACAAAGCGCAGTGTATAACTCTTTCAAGATTTTCGCATCTACACAGTGTCTTAGAGTTTTAAAGATGTAAATAGATTTCCTAATTTTGTTAGATAGTGTCTCTAGATGTGTATACCATTTAAGTCCTTCATCGATTATGACGCCAAGGTATTTAACATTGGTTACTTTAGAAACAGTAACACACGAGCAGGTTGTGCTTGTTGTGTCTCGGCATGTGTGAGCTTTTATGGTGTATGGAGTTATTGGATTAAAATGTGGGTTTAAAGTGAAGGGATGTAGTTGGTTTTGGACAGATTGAGGGTGAGTTTATTGTCGTTTAACCATCCCATAACAATCCTAAGTGATGTCTCGGCGGTACATTTAGCTTCCGACCATGAGTTTCCGTATACCACAATGGCAGTATCATCAGCGTACGCTATTATTTTAGATTTAAATAAGGTTAAGTTGCATAGATTGTTTATATATATTAGGAACAGCGTAGGTCCGATCACACTGCCCTGCGGGACACCGTAGGAGATCATTTCGTCTTCGCTAGTAAGATCACCTATCTTAACACATATCCTCCGGTCCTCTAAATAGGTCTGGAATAGCTTAAGTGCTGTTCCTCTTATGCCAATCAACTCCAACCTGGACAGGAGAATGGGGACAGAAACTGTGTCAAATGCCTTTGTTAAATCTAGAAACAAGCCTATACATTTTTTCTGTGTGTCTAGTTTTTGGGCTACAAACTCCGTCAACTGAACTACTGCATCTTCGGTGGACACTCCTTTTTTGAAACCGTATTGGTTGTCTGCTATAATATTAAATCTGTTTAAATAGTTAACGAGTTGTTTGTTAATTAGTTTCTCCATATTTTTTGATAGAATTGGTAGAACTGCAATAGGCCTGTAGTCATTTGCACAGCCTCTGTCCCCACCCTTGTATATGGGATGAACGACAGCTTTTTTGAAGGGCTCTGGGAACACTCCGGAAACTATAGAGCAGTTAACTACATGGGTGATTAGTGGTACCATAATAGTTCTGCATTTTTGTATTAATTTAGCAGAGATTCCGTCCCAACCAGTAGCGCAATCCTGTCTTAAGTTGGAGATGATTAGTTCAACTTCGCTGTCGTCCACCTCGAGAATCACGAATGAGTTAGCTCGTGAATTTTTCTTTGATTGTCCCTCAATGGTGGCATCTGTCATTGTGGGTGATGGTGCATGTATCTTGGAGGCTAGATTTTCGCCAACTTTCGCAAAAAACTTACAGATTTTATTGGCAGCGCTTTTAGGGTCAGATGTTGTACTGATGAGTTCCAAGGGGGGATATGTTTGTTGTTTGGATATGTGTGTTCCAAGAGTACATAATTATTATGGTGACAGAACTCTAAAAAAGCGATTGCCTTAACATCTCAATAGTCTGCCGTTTGACATCAGGCGAGAAACAGACAAAGTAGTATTTAAGGGAAAACTTAAAAGGCATTTTTTTTATTTGTTGTAATAGGCTACTGTTGTCTATACCTACCTATGATAGTTTTGAAATGACTTAAATAAGAAAATTACTTAAGTAAGACTTTAATTAGAAAAATGTACGGAGACTCGATCCTCCAGTCAAACCATCAACCCGGTTTTGGGGGACACAGATTGTAATGTCATGTTCAAAAATAAAGTTGAAGTTAAATAATAAATAATAATAATAATACTGCCTACCTACGCGTAGTCAAAGTTATTAATTTTTTTTAGAATTACTAACTTTCAAGTCAGTTATCGATTGTTTATCTTATAAATATATAAAAACAGGAGGTTTACTCATATTCGTGCACGTGCACACATAACAATGTCTGAAAAAGCTGTCTGTGAATAAGTTTGTTTGACAGGCTATACATAAACATTTCAGAATATGAAAAACTTATTCCTATTCTAATATATTCTAGTAATGTTTATGTTTAGCCGTCAGATATGGCAGCGTTCATGATATTGCCATAATAAAAATTGTCGTTCATTGTACATAATAACTAAGAAAAACCGAATGAATTATTTGGTTTATATATTACTTTTCTAGTTTTGATAACAAATAAAATTAACAACAAAATAATTTCCTTTTACATATTAGTTTCAAGTTTTGTTATTTTTTCTTCTGTGAAAAGTACTGGTAACAAGTTCTAGTTGTCGAATTGTCTATGGGAGATTCATGGTGGAAAAATTAGTCAACAGATTTATAAATTAAACGAAAATTAACAATAACGTTATGTAAAGAGTACTTTAGTTTACTTTAATGGGAAATACGCACAATAGAAGCTCTGATCCAACCAACCAAAAGCATTCTACGCGTTCAAATTCAGACGAGCAGCCGTTCGCTAGTCAGGTAAGTGATGAAACGAAAACTTGCAAATGTCATTCTCAGCTGAACTCACCTAACAAATATTTATGTAGTTACGCTCGAAGATTATGCTTTATATTTCGGTAACTGTGTAATTTATTTCACATGTGCTTTTGTGGAGTACTATGTACATATGAATTTGTTATAACTTCCATTGTTATGTCGAGTTCTTTGTTAAGCACAACGCATAATTTATTTTTGTATATAGTTCAGTCTGTCTCATTTCGTGGGCAACCTAAGCGGGCGTTCTTTCGTCAGCGTGACAAGCAACCAGTCGGTGTACAGCGCATCGCGGCCTTGGTCTCGCGTTTCGAGGCGAAGGTTAGTATTGTAATCAAGTCATCCAAAACAAACAGTTTTCATTACATTTGATAAAAAAATAATGCCGCCAGTTTTAAATATCGTTTTGGATATGTTTGTGAAATATCAGTATCTATTTATACTTTTGTTTCATGTTTATTTGTAGTGGTTTAATTTATCTAAGTGAAGTAGAAAATGGTGGTGGCCTTTTAAATGTAAATCCTAGTTGTGGTTTCTTCATCAAGTAGTTTCGAGTTTTTGTGGCATGTGACATGTAAGTAAGCTTACCTCAATTACTAAAAATATAGATATTAATTAAATTTCTCAATTTAAATTTAATTCATATATTTTTTTTAAACACAAAAAAAATCTGTGTTGATGAAATGAACAATATTGATAATAAGTGCAAAGGGACTGTTATTCTTTTATATTCATCTTATTGAAAGCAGTCATCATTATTGCATAAGAAACTGAAATAAGGTTCTGATTTAGTTTTGAACTTTTTGTCTGGTTCTAAATACAATTTAGGAGTGCACATTATCATTTTTGCAAAAATATTATAGGCTATGCGCAATAATTGAAATTGTGATGTTGTGTGTTGTGAAAAATTGATAAATATTCATGTAGAAATATTCTAGTACCTGGATAACTGAGCTTACTCAGATTTTTTTTGGTAAATTTTCTAAAAATGAAACCTAGCTAGGTTGATTAACAGCCACCAAAACACTGCATACTAAATTTCATGAAAATCGTTGGAGCCGTTTCCAAGATTTAGATTATATATATACATACAAGAATTGCTTGTTTAAAGGTATTATATTTAATGTTTCTAAATTTCAAGTCTCACTTAGATAAACAAAATGAAATGATTATGATTAATTGGTATGGTTAGTTGGTATGGTTATAGTTAAACCGCCGTAAGCTTGGCCCTCCTGATGGTTTGGGGGACGCAGGGCGGGGGTGCATTCAACCAATTAGCTAGTGCGTCGCTGTCCGCCGGCAGTGACTGACGTGAAAGCATGGCTGTACGTGTTATTTTTCTTCAGACTGCTACACACGGTATTATTTTGCAACATGGATAATCTGCCGACTCTGCGTCACAAAAATATTTAAAAACTTGAAATTCGGCTTACAGAGGTTCTACTGTTAAAGTTCTAATAAAGAATATTTATTATTTTACTTAAATTTTAAATTGTATCTGAATATAACATACATGATGAAGATAAGGTGATTTTATTAAAATTATTTAACAAGTATTAAATTTAACAATTAATCATAAAAACTTACAATACACTGACATTATAATACATGGAAATAAATTCGATTTTTATTACATTGTGTGTAGATTAAATCTCAAACAAATAAATCTGAAGATATCGAGTTAGTACATCGTGTCATGTATAGCCGAGCGCATCACCCGCCCCGCGTCCCGCAAAACCATCAGGAGGGCCAAGCTTACGGCGGTTTAACTATAGTGATAAAAACTATGCAGACTCATAATTTTGAGCCCTAAGAAGCTACTGAAATTGTTTAATAACAACTATAATTAGCAATTTATTAATTTTTCTTTAATTAGATAAGTGTTTGCCACAGATAATAACAAAGCTATTAAAAATCAATTGATATTGGAAAGTAAATTTGTTCAAATTTGTATTAATGGTTACACTCATAACCATTTAAAGTAAACAAAAGTTATTAATTTACCAGATTTCTACACTACTTGGTTGGCTGGTAGAAAATGCCCAGAAGGCCAATTCTTGTAATAAAAGTTTGGTCTCAATTCAGTTCCAATCAACTTTCGATCTCACAACTGTCATTTAAGATTATCTTGTTGTAAAATATTAAAGTATTACTAAGACTAGCAGATTACCAATTCTAATTTCGGTTACAATACGATATAGTCACATTACAGTCAATGTTGGATGTTTAATAATTTACTTCGAAAATACCTTTTGTGACAGTGGTGATATCGAAAGTTGATCGGAACTGAATTGAGACCGAACTTTTATTACGAGAATTGGCCTTCAGGGCATCAAGTCCGCCGATTTACACAAGTGCATGCAGTTGTAAATAAATAAATAATTTCCTATGTTTGTCCATAGTATTTGTTCAACTGTATTCATGTTTTTAAATTTTATCTTGTAATTTGGAATAATGTGAAGTATACTAATAAAAATTAAATATTTCTTGTCGTAAAATATAATGTGGACTAGCATTAAAATATATGACACACATTCATTCTTTTCTAAAATCGAGGATGACATAATTACAAGAACAGAAATAATTCCAGTAGGTATATTGTAAGAGATAAGGTTAATTTTAAAGATTGGTCTATTGATTATAACGAACATTAGTAAAAAAATAAAATAAAGAACCACCCATATAGAAGCTGAAGTAGAACATGATTTATAAATATTTCTATGTGAAACTTAGGAGGCGTCCATTAATTACGTGAGGGGTTTTCGGCGATCGATATCAATTCTTATAGAGGTATCTTTTGACGCATGCATTAAAATAATCTTGATAACTCATTTTAAATGAGTGATAGTCATTGAGTAACCAAACATTAACGAGCGTAAACAAAGCAAGTCGAAACCTGTTTATGCGCCGCCGCCACTCAGCTTGTACGCTGCAACGTTCGTCGAGTCTCGCATTCGCATACGCGGTGACGCGTATACAAACCACGGGCTACTGTGCAACTTCGCGGCACTCGCAAAAACATGATAAATAAAGGTTAAAGTATAAAGTTGCCGTTTTATAGTAATAGATAATTTAAATTGACAAAAACCTTCATGGTGTAAGATTTTCGTGTGATTTTTTTTCCACACCTATGAAGTTTTTCTTTTAAAAAATGTGCAACATATGATTTTCTACTTTCAATTGTTTTTTTTTATTTAAATTAGACATGAAAGATGGATACTTTGAAAATTCGCGTCATGTTTTAATATGAGTGCCATCCGAACTAACGACAACGATCGGCAGAAACGACTCGCAATATCAACGCTGCGTTTGGAGAGGAGACTGCTAATGAACGTCTTTGGTTTAAACGCTTTCAAAATGGAAACTTCGTCTTAAAGAACAAAACGCGTGAAAGACCACACAGGTAAATAACGCTGAATTGAACGAGATGGTGGAAGCCGATCCGAGTCAAACTACCCAGGCATATTGGATTTAATTTTAACATGTGACGAAAAGTGGATTGTTTACGATAACCGTAAGCGAAAAAAGAGAAAATAGCTGATCCCAGGTCAAAATCCGCAACAGTGCCCTAACGCAAAGCTTACCAATAAGAAGGTAACAATTACTGTTTGGTGGTCTCTTCATGGTGTTATTCACTATAACTTTCTCAAGTCTGGTCAGTCAATGACAGCAGATGTTTACTGTGCCGAACTTCGAACAATGATGGCGAAACTGGCATTGAAATAGCCCTGACTCGCCATTATTGCTCCATTATAACGCAAGACCTCACACTGCACTAGAAACCGTCATAACTACAGGAGCTGCAGTTAGAAACCAAACGTCATTCTCCTTACTTGCCAGACCTTGCTCCGAACCGATCAACGTCGTCGTCGATCGTCGTCGTCACGGGTACCAGTAGCTGGGGAACCAAGTGTACCCTAGAAAGGAAATCCCTGGTACCCCGACGTACCTCGGGCCATCCACGGCGTGTAGATGACCCCTCCTGTGTGGGAACCGGTGACAAGACGCGCTCGGCAGCGCGTCTCGCCGCCACTCCGGCCTGCTTCTGCTAGGGTAACAGATGGCTTCACCTGCCACCCCCAGGCCTGCGCTTATGGAGGATGAAGGTCGTTCTGCGACCACCGGCGCCCGAGTCGTCTGCGGTATGTGCGGGTTCCGGGCCTGGCGGCCGGAAAAGTTCTAAACCTCTCCCGGTCCCGCTCCGCCATCTCCTTCGCAATCATAACTTGCTCGCAGAAGGAGACGGCAGTGTTCCACGCACTCTCGCTCCGTACCATGGCGGCAATCATACTACTGAGCGAGAGGACTACCACTCCGATAACCACCACGAGGTCACGCCTCTGCTCCACCCACGTCGGGCATTTTGCCAATGTGTGAAGGGCTGTGTCCATGGTCTGGCCATCGCAGTGGTGGCACTCAGACAGGATGCGCTCCGAAACAACCGGTGATCACCTGCGTCAGCCGGTATGAGAGGGTTCCGTGACGCCTTTCAAGCCAATCCTCCATAACGGGTCTTACCGCCGCAATAACGGTGCCCGTCATACTCTAACCTCTAATATTATTGTAAAAGATTTGGCTATATCTCCGCGGAGGAATATATTTTACTTAATTCAACCCAGTTTTCTCGCAATTTTACTCAGATTCTTGCGCATAAAAAATTATGTTATATTTACCGAGCCCTAAGTAAGATTAGATGAGATTCGTCTCGACCCCCTCTGCCTTGCATAATTAATGTACACGCCCTTACTTTTATAAGGTACATTTAAAAAAAAGTTTGTATTTAAATATCTCTAGTGTTCAATAAATAACTTGTAAATTATGTTAAATAAATATTTTGTACACTTAACAAGGGCACAGCTTATAATAATAAATTTAAATAATTTATAAAACAGGTAATGGTAGTTAATATACATGTTTAGTTCGATATGTAATTATAAATAAAATAAGAACAATATTATTATATTTATAATTTTAAATGTGTCTATTTCATTTCATTTCATTAGAACTCATAATTTATGAGGGATATACCAGATCTGAATATATGTATACTAGATTCTGCCTGCGGCTTCGCCTCCGCGTATATGTCGGTTATCATGGTAAAAGCAGCATGTTATTCGCTAATAATGTAGCTTTCCTTTATTCAAAGAAGTTTTGAAATCGGCTTAGTGGTTTAGACGTGAAATCGTTACAAACAAACTCACTTTCACTTTATATTAAAAGTATAGATTTAAAGCTGTTGCAATGTTTCAAACTTTAGTTTTAGAACTTAGTGAATGAAAAAAAAGACTCAAATATTTGAGGCAGGTTGCTAAGTTGGTCAGTATTGAACTTGACACTGTTAGGAGTTAAATCACCAAGTAGAATTTGGTCACAATGACTGGAAACGATGTAAGTTATCAATCTGTTTTAATTGTTCTTTAAATTTAAGGAATTTCTATAATGGGCTTTCAAACTGACTTAGATATAAATTATGATTTGATATAGGAATAAGAACTAAATGAAGTTAATATCTCTAAATGCCTACTGGCATATTTTGGCATAGAGACTTGCCTTTTATGTATTATCATTATCTGTCTATCTCTCTTCTACAGGTACCTCACAGTGCCTAAGCTAAATAGTGCTATACAGAAGTACTCAGACTCAAATGTTAGACAAAATATATGAAACGGCTTCAATTGCATCTATTACACTATGAAAGTAAACCCTCTCTCCTAAAACAGGTTTACCTCAGCTTTTTAAAGTAACCATTTGATATTAAAAGAAACTAATCTTTCAGATGGAATGACTCTACACTGAAGAACCCACTTGAAGCCAGCAAAACTGCCTGGCCAGTGGCACACAAAGAATCCATATTCCAACCTGAATTCCCCATCACCACTGACTTACTACAGAAAGACTTTGAAATAAAAGAGACGATAGCCAAAGGTGCTTTTGGTGAAGTGTACAAAGTCAAGAAGATCAGTGAAGATAAAGAGTACGCACTGAAGGTGCTCAATAAATCACAGGTATGAATTTAGTAGTGATCCTTATGTCCGTAGGTTTACTAATCTGTATACTTAATGAGATCAAAATTTCAATATTCTAAATCTAAAGTGTGTAAACATAACCTTATTGAGAATTCCAAAGAATAATGAATCGTTTTCCTTTTTTATTTAACTATAATTTATATCAACTATACTTTGAATGTACAAGACATACACACAACAACGTCTAAGAGGAATTTGTTGGACATTACTGAACATATAATGAATCAATATTTTAAGTACTGTTTGCAAAATATTCGTTTACAATAATTAATAATATCAGTAGATGTTATAGTCAAATTTTTATGCACCACTGAATTCATATTCCTTATCCGTATGTAATGGTGTCTTTAGGAGAGCAGGAAATAACCTTGTCGGTACACATATTCCCCCCTTACCTACGATCGTAGTGCATTGTATATGATCAAAGTTACACATGCACACAGGCCGGGACACAATATAATTATTGAGAATTTCACAATTCGTCTAAATACGTTTCAAGTTACTGAAATTATTTTTGTAGATGCTGGAAATCGTAACATCCTAGCAATATATTATAGTTCTAGGAACAAGTACATAAAACTAAACTAAGAATGTAAATACTTTTTTGCGAGCGTGTTAATTCCCGTAAACAGATATAAACTAACAATGTATCACAATCAATGGACTACAATTTTAACATCGACTCCTTATTTGACATATGACAGCCAATAGACACACATAACTTGGACCTTTATCTAAATTGTCATTTTGATTCATGTCTCAACCCAATTATCGTGAGCCGTGCCTTGTATTTGTTATATTATTAACGTCGTCAGTCACAATATCGCGAACATTAAATTAAATAAAATTTAGTGTAAGCGTTACAAAGGGACGTCATTATCCCTAAAAAAAACACAAACAATCTCTGTCAATAGATGTCGATGTATGTGGAGGAGTGAATGCTCTTTATTATCATACTTTTTTTGTTGCAAAAGCTAAGCTAAGCTTTTTTATTGTAGGAGCAAGTAAAAAACATCGATCTATGACCCGACTTTTTATAGGATATCTGCGAACCATTTATGAATTATTTTCCATTCGTTTAAGCACATCGAGTCTAAAAGACATCAAACGTCGGAAACCAGGTGTTCAACCACACAATATCCACTTGGGTTGTGAACTTGTGACTATATTATGATATGTATATTATATTACTGCCTTTAATAATGTTACTCTGGAGAGTAATGAACTTCTTTGTATACTTATATGTAGGTATATACTTATTCGCAGTTATGTATGTAATTTTAGTAATCATCCACGTATTATTGTCTAGTATTATAAAGTGTCATGTATATATAACTGCGTGTATAATCACCAACGTTTCTTTTACTATGCACCTGCCATGTCCCTCGCTAAACCACCCTAAGGTTGACTGGTAGATAATTGGCATAAAGTGCGGTATAAATATGTAAGAACTAGCTGAGACCCGCGGTGTTACCCGCGTTTGTTGTTATAACCGCGGGCAACGCCGCGGGGCGAAGCTAGTTTAAAAAAAGTAGCCTACGTTACTCCTTATGTCATCAGCTATCTGCCAGTGAAAGTCCCGTCGAAATCGGTAAAGCCGTTCCAGAGATTACCCCTAACAAACAGACAGACAGACAGACAAAAATTGTAAAAAATGATATTTTGGATATGTACCGTGTAAACATACACAATATGCATTTAGTAAAAAGCGGTTATTACAAACAGACACTCCAATTTTATTTATTTGTATAGATTATAAATAAATAAAGACAATCTTCTCGATCCCTCAATTCCCAATTTCGAATTCTTAAGGTTAGGTATTAAGATACCTAAAGAATAATACCTGTAGAATAGTGTACATGCGTGGCTTACCTACCTATCTGTGTATATCTACATGTGGCGCGTTTGTGGTGGCTTCATCTTGCCTGTTTCTCAGGCGTATGTACAAATATGAATCAACCAGTATTTTGTAAATCTGTTTGTGATCAAACAACTTCTGATTTGACAAACAACTCCAAACTCTACTTGTCTTGCAATACTGAATGGAAGCTAGTCGATTCTACAAACGAAAACAATATCAATCGCAGAATCCCTGACCTATTTGAGTAATAAGGTTAAGCTAACTAAACTAACAATTGGGTTAGCCGCAATCGCCGGGAATGTATTTGAGTTTTCGAGTTGTTGACCTTTTCATCGTGTGTTCGGTGTTGGAAGCCACTGAATAATGGCCACTTGATAAAAACCATTCATGCTAATTGTAAAAAGCGTGTGCTACATTTTAGATTTATCACAAGATATATTAATTCAGATATATATAAAAATATTCTTAGTATTAACATACCCAAAATAAAGTAATGTAGTAAATTTTCGACAACATCAGTTTAACGATCTTCTTAAACAATGTTTTGAATAGGGGTTTACCAACTTTAAGGGTAGGGCAGTAATAATATTACGTCGATAAAGACTATTAATATATAGAGGCATATATATATATTAATATATATACATGGCTCCAAGCAGTTGCCTAATACACGATGTATTAGGCAACTGCTTGGAGCCATGCACGTAATCGTCACTTTTACAATAATTATACAGTGTCATAGGGTTAATTTATTTTTCATTTGTTTTCCTTACTGTTAAGCGCTACTAAGTAAAATGTTTTTACCAAAATGATCTCCCAGTTTGTGTGATTATCACAAGACGCCTGACATAACTGGTTTCTTATCAATGAATGTGGTCGTGCGACGCAATAGCAAACAGGAACCATCTTTCTTTGTTACTTTAAGCTTGATACATAATGCTCAACTGCAGGTTTCGTTTTTTTATAAGCTCTTTATGTAACCAAAAATAATAATTCATCGGCTTTTTGTATGGGATTTCGCAACAAATCCATGCTAGTTTTTCTTTTATATTGTATCTAGTGAAAAAAGTCGTTGAAAAAAATCTTGACCGTGTCATTTTCAAAGGGCTGTGTGTATAGCAACCGGCTGTGCATGTACCGGAACAAAAAGGGACCAAATTTGTCAAATAATTTCAATCGAAATCATTTTTGCATTATGTTCCGAAAAGTCCAGAAAGACGAAAAGCAAAACCTAGATCACCTTTATATATAACATTTTGCGACTTAATTGTTAAAATTTGTTTAAACATTTATCACAAACTTAATTGTAAACATCGGGTTCAAATCGAGCTGTTTACAGATTCTGACTAGAATCGTGTTTTATCTTACATTTTAACTAATTACTACTAATATATTTTAATGTCCAAATATGTAACAAATTGACTGCAAGTTAGCAAAGTGATAAACATAAGTTAATTATAGATGTAATTTCCGTTGTGAATGTCCAAATTAGTGGATCTATTCAAAAGCAATGAAAGGTTTTCGGGCACGGTAGGGCACGAGGTTTTACAAGGAATTATTCGTTGTACCAATAAAAGTGCAGCATGCTTTGTGATTAGTACTAAAACTGTCCGCGAACAGTCATACTCGTAATACCATTGGCTTAACCTAGCATAGCATTACTGGCGATCAGGTAATTGAACATTTCGTCAATATTAATGTTAAAACTTCATACCACCAGCATGTAACTGGAGTTTTGTTTCATTAATATCTATATTATTTTACATTTCTTTAGTTTGCTCATTTGATGATTTCCTAATTATTTTTTAATCCTTAATAGTGGCAGCTTTTTTTATGATTCACTACTTACTGCCTTTAAAAATATGGAAATGGTTTGACTAGCACTGCTCTGCTTATAATAAGAGACCTTTCTCGGTAAGACAGTAATACAACGAAGTTCAGTCTAGTACAAGTTAACTGTGTAAAAAGTAGCTAGACATCTAGACATGGTGGCACGTGAGTTTTCATACATTCTATGCATGCATTTGTTATTCATCATTTTTTTCTGGAGCATTTTGGATAACGACTCTTCATATTCCTCGCGTCCTTGCATTTATAAGCGATTTTTAAATTTTAAATTTTGTGTTCTATTCGCAAATAGGCTGCCAGTATTTTTTGAGCGGTTTGTTCGAAATAGGTACATAATAGACCCTTTATATCCCTACTTTTGCCCGCGGCTCCGCCCCCGTGTATGTCGGTTATCGCGATAAAAGTAGCCTATCTTGCTCGTTGATAGTATAGCTTTCCATTGGTGAAAGAATTTTTTAAATCGTTTTAGTGGTAGATATGAAAGCGTAACATACAAACACAATAACTTAGTAGTAGTCAACAAATAAAAAATTAAGCAGGTACATTATCCTCATTTTGATGGCTTAGCATGTTTCATTTAAGTCATAGTTTATCGAAATAGGAGATTACAATGTATATGCACTTATCAGCAATCGTATTATCGAATGACCTACATGAATTTTTTACCTTCAAATGAGTTTCACGGAACGATAAGCTTTCATAAAGTATGTAATAAAATGGCTCTTATCAATTATTACGTTTCGTTGTTCATTACCTATGCTCTATTTTTTAAAGTGAAATATATTAGTGATTGCATTATGAAACTGCTAACATGCACATGATGTAAGTTACTCTTTATTGAAATTTAAAACGAAACGGACAGCCGTTACGTATAGCCTATCCTTATCCGCTCTAAATCCGGACTATTTATAGATACAAAACGTTGTCATATGCTTATCCTAGAAACTAATAACACGTTTCTATGGTACTGGTGGTAAGCTAATGCTACATTAAGTATATACGGAACTCACGAGGAAAATTAGAGTTCACATGGAGAATGCAAGCATTTTACATATGCAGTAAAATACTTTTTTCCTTTGGCTAGAACAATTGAAACCGTGTTATTATAGAGATAGTATTTCTTTACGCATATTTACTTACAAATTCGCTCGCTTTAGTCGATCCAATGCCTTTCATTAGTCTGTTTCTATGCAAATAATAATAATACTTTATTTACGCAAAGATATACATATTCGAATACACAGTTGATAGGAATTTATAATTTTGTATTTGAGATGTGAAACTCTGTCCCTTAAACTAGGCGAGTTACCTGTATCTTAAGAGACAGTGTTCAGCCTTACAGATTCATCTTATATTGGTTCTGTTAGAGTTGTGTCTTTCGATAGATAATATGCAGTTGGATGTTTACGTGTGTATGTGCGTGTGTGTGTTTGTGTGTGCAAGATTCCTTAACTATGCGACTTCGTAACTTAACCTTCTACTTAAATGTTCACTTTATACCGTCTCAATTTAACCACTCAGGATTCGTCGGCACACCTATCTATTCGCTATATGAATTGGTATTTATACCTATATCAATCTGTTAATCGGTCTAGCAAACCGCTAGCAATCTATTCATAAAGACTTCGTACATTTTACATGTAACGCTCAAGTAATTACAGACCACGTCAAAGAAAACGTTTCCTTGTAACTACGAACTAATCAGCATAATAGTCAAAAGTACCTATATATGTTTTTTAGAAGCAAATGATTACATCATGATGAGCAATAGGCACTTGAACTCCATGCGTGCTCGCAGTCATGCGAAACGTTGAATTGTTTACGTGAAAGTATTAATTTGATTGTGCCTGTTGTTGATAATTTACGTATTTTTAAAAAGAGTAATCGACGAGAAACTATTTTTTTTTCTAATAACTATATGCAACCGAAGATCCAGATTAAATTTTAGTGAATAATGTTCGCTCGCAGACATGAACTAAGTAAATATAAACACAGACAACACAGAAATGTCAGTCATATGGAACTCGTCCTAAGTATCCTACAAACAACACAAATGCACACTTATTCGTATTCTGCAGTAAAATCATGTAAATCATATAACAAATAAACATGTATGTATATTACAGATAGTGAAGGAGAGCGCAGTGCGTCAAGTTAAAGAAGAAGCTCGTATACAAACAGCGTGCGGTCATCATTCCTTTATAGCGGGCGCCGTGGCCCGGTGGCAGACTAAGAAAAGACTGTATATTGGTAAGAGAACAACATAACTCATTCCCTATTTTTGGTTTTATTAAATCTTAAGAAAGTAGAGTTGATGGCTAATTACATTTATTTAGATATCTTGACAGTAGCTTAATTGATTTAAATAGTAAAAATTGACTTATACACTAAACTACACTAAAAAGTAGTCCTCTGTAGATGTGTCATAGTTATATTTAATGATGTATCAGAGGAAAACATTACCGAAAAATAACAACACTTAATTTTTTTGTCAACTTGTTTTCTTTTGTAACTTTTTATCTTGTAAAGAACAGCACCCTCGCACACACACTAACTGTTCAGTACTTTAATGTATTTAAACGAAATTGATTGTGAATGCCAACTCCAGTCTTATAAAAATGCCCTCGTCTACTCAGAGGCGACCATCTTTATTTTGGAACCAAGTAAACCAATATCTGAAGTAAGTTCATGTGCATATACGATACACTATTACATGAAGTACAACCGTGCAGCAGGGTTAGTAGATGTTAAAAGGATGGTAAGTCAATAAATATGTTAACGATTTAAATATCAACTCAGTATGAGAAGAGAGCACATTAGAAGATGGTAAACATTTCTAACCTTAAAAGTAATTAATATCAGAAGTACAAATTATTACACTAAATAGCGCGAAAAGTCACACACGCTCAACTTGTGATAGTCACTTGTTTGTTGGATGATGCATTATCTTACACGGACGGAGATGTCACGGACTCTTGTATTACTTGCCTTCATTCTCTTCATCTCATATTCAATTTACGAAATCAGGCAACACGACTAAATTGATTCCAGCGGTATATCACTAGGTAGGTACGTCGACCTTCTAATTTAAAAGTTAACAAGTCAACTCAACTTGTTCGTTAATTATTTAATAGTCTGTGTCCACATAACCTATTTTTCTGAAAATTTCGTTAAATGTTTTCTTATCCTTCATTCACATGTCATATACATAATATAGGTAAAAGACAAAGAAGATGCTGTGGACACATATTATTTTTGTATGTACTAGATTAAGACATTATGTATATTAGTTCTTAAGACGCTATTGTACAATACATTGTTTGTGTTCCTTAAAATAAATAAATAAATAAATAAATCTAATAAAATGGACTGAAAATAAAAGTAAGAAGGCCATTTTTTAGAAATGAATAGATACTATCTGAAGATATTGTGTTGTTCCTACGTGGTTAAAGTAAAAAGTTATTTACAAAATAACGCCATTAAGTAAAGAATGACTAAGAGGAAGTGTCGTCAAGATATAGCAAACATTACAAGCTCATACATCATCCTTTCCAACCCCTGACAGAAAACGAGGCATGTTATAAGTTTAACCTGTGAATCTGCGTATCTGTGTTTCTGTCTATCTGTGGCATTGTAGCTCCCGAACGGATGGACCAATTTAGATGCGGATTCTTTTGTTCGAAAGCCGATGTTCTCGTGATGGGACTTTAGCTATAAATTATGAAAATCATGAGCTCACTTTCTAGGTGATGAAGGGATCTCACTTAAATCCACAGGTCCCATTGATTTGAAATTTGGTATACTGTTACTTTGATGGTATTTCCACGACATGATAACCTGGAACTTGATGCTGCATCAAGTAGTCTGTGGGATAGCCATCTCCACGGAAAGTTACAGCATATATATACCATGTTTGAGCTTATTAGAACAGTCTCAATGAGCAGTTGTTGTTTTTTTTTGTATCGGGGGTTTTTTAATGATATTATCATAACAAGAACCGTATTGTTACTGTTCATGTAGAACCAATTTTATTCCAATACATTTTTGATCAAAGTTAAATATCATTGTATCAGTTGTGTAACATCATTTCTCTCGCTTTCTTGCAATCTCTTTGAAAGATTTCGTAAAAAGGGACGGAAATGTGTTACAAGAAGGAAGCGCTTGCTATTTGATTTGAACAATGAGCGCGCGCAGTGCTAGAGTTGACTTTTAAATGGTATCTATGGTACATTTATGTTTATAATGTTAATATTTATTGAGAGAGTGAGAGATGTTGCAAATCCCATATGTCTACTGTTAGGATTGATCATTTCTCTTTTTATTAAATCCAGATAAATAATTAACATTCTCTGGAAACCAAGATCTAAACATTATACAAAATAAAAAACCGTTTCATTAAGTAAAAAATGTGAATTAGAACTTAGATAAAGCCATAAGGCCAATTTGTTTTGACGGTAGGAAGTAAGCGAAACACGTCTGATTACCAAAGCGTCCGATAACACCCGACCTAATAGTAAAGGTGATTGTTCTAGATAAATATAATAACAATAACATAGTTATCATTTTTTATCGTTTGTGTTTATCTTGAGTATGTTTACCTTATACACGTCATTAGCGGTAGTTCAGTGCAATGAGGTTGTGTTTTGTTTTGTGTGAATTTAAATTGGGTCTGCGTTGCTGGTTTATATTGTCTGAGGTCATTCATTAGTAAAACCCGTAAGTTTTAAAATTCAATAATTTTATAAAACAAGTCAATCTCTCTTTGGGGTAGGAATAGAGTAGTATTTTTAGCCCGCCCTTTGCTTTTAACCTTAATTGGCACAGCAGCCTCTACTGTCATTAATCCTTCATAAAGTCTCCCCGATCACAAGTACTTCTTATGTGCCTTTTCTTCAGAAAATCACCAATTTGATATGTTATATGTAGTGCCGCTCTTGCCATATATGTTTATTTACTAAAGTAATATTTTTTTACTGTATTATATCGGCGAAATTCGGGCGTCTAATACGTCTATAAAGACGTGAATGTATGTATGTATGTACTATATAATATATTTAAAACATAATTTAATAATTTTCTTAAAGCGACTGAACCGACTGTAGTTGAATTAGTCTCGCTTTGAATGTTTATTACTCGTACCGTGTTCTCATATTTTTTTAATGATTAATTTTCTTAGGACTCCTCAAAGTAATCTCGTACAAAAAAATAATAATATATCAATTGATTGAAAATCTTTCAAAATACATATTGTTAAAGATTCAATTTTATAAATGTTCTTTTTAAACGTTTATATATATATGAATGAACTTTTTTTATGTTGTGTAATATAAGTATCTACCTTTTGAATTTAAGTCCAAAAAATAAGTAGTATCTATTTTATCATCGCATGTCGATTTATTGTTTACGACTTCCAAATGACATGATAGTAAGTGAACAAGCATTATAACCTCTTCCACTTAGCAGTTTGTGTAATTGTTTTTGGTTTGTAGCATAGGAAAATTAAAAGGAAATATTATTCAGTATCTTCAAAGGGTAAGAAGTACACACTGTTCACTTCAGTCACTCGTTTTTTTTAATGATATCGGATTGAACATTATCATATAGTAATGCACACGCTGGCTGACGATAAGTTTATTGTGAGAAAATGTATTCTAATCCAATGACTCGCACAAATTTTTATATCTATCACAACAAGATACGTTTTAACAAACTTGTTTTCTTGCAGTTTCAGAATACATTCCTGGTGGCGAGCTATTAGCTTTACTCGATAAGTACGGGAGTTTACCTGAGGAACTCGTCAAGATATTTGTTGCAGAAATAGCTATTGCTATTGGTGAGTATCGCGACTATTATGTTTTTTTTTGTTTATGGTTATATTGACCTTTTTTAAAGCCATTGACATCAAAGGTCTATCAAAGCTGTTGCAAGAAACTATTTAGACTTATTTTATATTTTTATTCTTTTACAAGATATTGCCCGCGGCTTCGCTAATCATTATTTATTTCGTGTTTCTAACTTTAAAATGAAGAATTTCCATCCATACATACTGTTCATCCCTTATTTTATCCCCTTAGGGTGGACATTTCTAAAATCCTTTTAAATGGGTGCTTACAACATAAAAAACATCAGCTACCAACATTTCAAGTTTGAAGTCCCAGCGGTTTAGGTTGTGCGTTAATGAATCAATCAGTTAGTCAGAGCAAGTAATTTTTTATTGTATAGATATCATCCATTAGACGGGCTATCGTTTACATTTAAATATTTTATCCGTTTATGGGGCGCCCTAGGTATCAGGTTGCCCTTTCGGCGAAATTCAAAAGTCAGCTGAAGCATTGATTAAAAATAATAATTTGAATACACAAACAATTGGAATACTGTGATATTATTCTGTTATACATTTAACACAAACTTAATTAACTCTTTAGTAGTAAAGATCGTCTTATTATTTGTATGCTCTAAAACTAGATGTGAAACAATTTGCTTGTGCTCGGTAGCATCAGCTTCTGCCAGTACGATTTGTAAAATTTCACGTTAGATAAGTAGGAACATTACAGACCAATATCACGCGAAATCATCGCGAATGCCAGTGAATTGCAAGACACGGCTACTAACTCATATATAAATTGTTTAATTATTAAATTCCATTGAGAAATAATAAGCCACAACTTTCTGTTTTCAGACTTCCTACATAACGCTGGCGTTATATATCGAGATTTGAAACCTGAAAATATACTTCTCGATTCTGATTACCATATTCGATTAATCGACTTTGGCTTATCTAAGTGGCTTTCGATTGGATCCCGTACTACGACCCTGTGTGGCACTCTCAAATATATGGGTAAGTGTAAAACTGTTAAATGAAATTATTATCTTTTGAATAATGGTAGTACTTACGATTTTTTATTTTTGTACATGTAACCGTCAGTGTCGCATAGGAAGGTCTACAGCGAATAGTTTGATTTGGAATTTTAAGAAAAACTAAAACGGTCATTCTCCATTTCAGCGTGGGAGTTGACTCGTTTGATATTTTAAAATGGCTCAGTGCCTTCTCTTCGTATCCGTTGCGGCCGTGGCACAGTGGAGCCGTCAGTAACGCACGAACTTAAAGTGATTATGTCGATAGTGGCGCCCACTGCTCGCGCGTCGGCCCACTGACGCCGACAACATGAACGCGCGAACTATTGCGTTCGAACTGTCCATGGAGGGACGTCAGGTCGACGAGGTAGTCGCCTGCATCTTCCACACGGTCCTCTTTCACCGCTCCAGCGGCAAGTTCACTTACAACAACGAGGAGAGTTACTCCATACGGACCGTGAGCTATGTGGACGTCGACTGCGACTTTATCGACTTCACATACGTGTGCTGCGAGTCGGACGCTCTCGGGCGGAACGTGAAGCGAGAAATATCGGACTTCTCCGAGTTATTGCGCGGCGCGGACTCCACGTCGGCCCCGCCTCGGGGCTCCATAAGCCTCGAGTTCTTCCAAAAGCGGCGCGCGCGCTGGCCCTTCCAGCCTGAGTGCGTGCCCTGGGAAGTGTGGACCGTCTACTGCGAGCTCACCGAGTCGCGGAACGAGCAAGACATGCACAGCAAACACGAGAACGTGGTGGAGATGCTGCAAGATAAGATAGTGTTTATCACGGAGATCATAAACCGGCACGAGTACGTGCCGAAGATGCCGAGCCGCTCGGACGCCGATCTCATCTTCGACACTTCGTACTCGGACATACAGCCCTACTTGTTTAAAGTTCACTACAACCTGTCGGGCGCGCCGCCCACGTCCGTCGGGAATACGGTGCGCAAGCTCATACGTGACACGCTCTCGTTGTGATGCATATTGTGTTCATAACTTACATACTAATTACTCTGTGTCCGAAGACTACTTCCGAACGCGTGATATAGATGTCGTGCGAGTCAATTACGACCAAATCTTTTTTTTTTTACACGGACTTGCAATAAATAAAGTTATTTTGGTCTAGATGGAGTCCCTATTATGGTACATAATATACTAGTAAAGATTTCAAACTTAAAATGTGTGGTTATTTCAACAAAGGTCGTATTGTAAATATTAATTTTAAGGATTGGATGTATTCAACATTTTGACAATACATAATATCTGAATCTATATCTGTGTCATTTATTGTACTTATGCTTTGTATGTTTGCACAAACGTTATCGTTGTTATTGATGCTACTATTAATTTCTATAATTAAATTTATCACAGTCGGTTTTGAATTTAAATGTTATGTATTAACACTTAAATTTCTCTTTAAAATATCCTCTTAATTATTTGGTTTCGTTATCTAAAATTAGTTGTTAATGTTTCGCTCACATTGTTAGCCCATGCGGGAACGAGAAGAGCTTCTAATAATAGTATTTAAACGAATAATTTTTTGTATAATCAAACACTTTGTCTGTTGTAACATTAGTTTTAAATTAAGTTATAATTACAGAGCTATGACTCGGAAGGCTGGTTGATGTGTCCATTGATTTTCGTCGTTTTTCAAACCTGGTTTTGTGTAGTGTCAGGTTCTCGAGCACTCACAGGAGTTGATATAGAATTAATAGTTACCTAGAAGTTTATCATAAGTGATAGATAGTTTTAAACACTCGTGTTTTGTTAAGTTGGTGGCACTAAATCTTCTTAATATTGATTAACGCTTTTATTAGAAGTTGGAGTATTTTTGTGTAGTCATTTGTCTGTTTACTAATAAACGCTTTATTATATCGCGATGAATTATTCAGAAATACTAAAAATATTGACTTTGGATTACGTGTATGGATCTAGATACGATTGAATTCTTACATATAGGTTTTAGACTATAAGTAGTTATATTTCAACAGTAATTTTTATGAATGAGTAATATAAATATTGTAAATATGCACATGGGGTATATGTCACTTGAGTTATTTCGAATGTCGCTTTGTACGGAGTTATATCGGTTTGTATTGTTTGATGTAACCAGTGAGTTCTATGTATTATGTATGAACAGTTTGTGTAGGAGTGGTGCGTGAAAAATGTCTCGTGTGTAGATGTAAGTGATGCTGAGTTGTAAATCACATTGTACTTGTCATCTTATCACTCCTTTATCTAACTTTCGATAATCATTTACTTCTAAGAGTTCAAGAGATCTTAATTTTTATGTAGCCCAATTGTAAAAAATTATAAACAAAACTTACTGTTCTTGATCCATGACCGTAGGAAACTTAAAAAAATACTCTGAAGTACGACTTCATGTCATTGCTTTCATGCCAGAGTCAAGCACTTAGTTGTTTTCTGTAGGACTATGAACTGAGTCCATCCATACAATTCTAATTTACAATCCTACCTCATTTTGTGACTCTAGCTTTAGTGTACAACAACCTTTATGCCTATCTAATCACACTTGTACCTATTAGAAAATATTTATCAGAAGTGTTTTCGTCACCAAAGATGAGGGCTGTACAAGCTTAACTATCTTTTATTTCGAATTCTTTTGGTAACTATAATTTTATGATATTAATTAAATTACATAAGACTCATCTCGGGGTTTCTTTTTAATGAAAAGATAAAGCTGTAGTAATTTACACTTTATATTCGTCTGAACTACGATTATATTTATTTTTTCATATTCGCATACGCTTTATAGATCGAGTCAATGTCGCACGTCGTGTCGTCGTAATTGCAATCTATATTATGTGAAATTTTAAATTGCTAAAATCAATATTCAATTTTATCCACAAAGACAGACTAATGTCCATAGTCAGTTAAAAAAAATGGAATTTTTGTTAGATAAATTGTGTAATATGTAAAGAAATATACTTGTCTATACTTAGGTAAGTTTACAGGCTTCACACTAACGTCGATTAAAAGCTCTTCGACATTTAAACGTTTCAATATTGCTAAAAACATGATTGCTTCTACAACCCAAATGGCTTTTGGATAAGATTGATATTTTTTTTCAACTGTTAGGCTGTTAAACATGCAGTTCGATATAATTGCTGAATAAAATTATTATTATGACACTGTTAACTAAATAGTAGTTATTATAATCGATTGCATGCATAACAAAGGTTTTATTGAATATTTTATATATTCATTTGTAATATTCATATCAGCGAGTACCTTCAAATTATAATAATTTCAAAATGTTTAAATAGAGGAAAGTTGGTGATAACGACAATATTTTTAATGTTTACATTACACAACACTTGCAATTCACAATTAGAAGTTATCTGAGTGGTTTTCCTGTTTGAATTTCTGTTATAAAGAATCAATTTGATACCTTTTTAAAAATATGCTAATAGTACACAGTAAGAATAATATTTTGTCTACGTTAAGTTTTAATTAATCCTGATAGGGCTTTCACTTCACACGTAAGTAAATCATTCTTGTAGCACGACTATTTATGATTTCCACAAACTACTGGCAGTTTGTCATAATCACATATAGTAATGCGGGTCATTGGACAGTTGTAGTAGTTCTCTTTAGCCACAATATTCTAAGGTCTTTGCTAGGCACTGGTAAGTTCATTCTTTGACTATCGCAGTTAGCATCTATATACCCACCACCAAACCTTAAGTTAAGTGTTCAAGAATATAAAATTATTGTTTAATAATGTTAATAATGTGCATATAATTACACAGATGATATTACTACATGCTTTCTGTTTACAAATTAAATACGTCCATTTGTGAGTTGCAAGAGTTGTCACTTGGTGTGCCTCCTGTAGTGTGATGTCAAGCACATTGTAAAGTACTATATCTGTGCACTCTGCTAAGGCCTTATTTAATGAATGTTTTTAACTATAAAAGTCACTATTCGCGTGTAATAACGGCTGTTACATATTAGAGTTTATAATAAATGAAACAGGAAATATGTATGTTGTGATCAATAAGTTCAAAAAAAAAATTAAGCTAAATCTTAGTCTTGTGATATAATTTATATATAAGTGAATAAATGATGAAGTATTTTTCTTGTTTTTTTTAAACATTTTATACATTATAATTATCTAATACCTAAATGTATAAAGTAAAATAAATATTGCTTCAAATAAAATAACGCTTTAAATAAAGGAATTACTTCTAATATATTAATTGCGATTGATTTATGTGACTTATATGACCAGTGAAATAAAAAAAAATCTGGATTGCAATTTGCCCCCAGGAGTGGGTATTTTTCGGCTAGGTAAAGGTTTCTGATCTCCTGAACATTTTATTTGGCAGTAGTCAATGGTGCCTAATTTGAATTACTTAATAGTTTGGTACGATATGTGTAACAAATTGAAGAGTACTTGAAAACCTTTATATTAAGCTATCAATCTCTACATATAATATTGATCGTCATGGTACGGAAACGTAAACAATTACAGTTCCAGTCATGTTGGCTAATAAAATAAAACTAAACAATCAAACTAAATAATATAATAAAATAGGGTAGATGACTCAAGTCAAATCAGTATCTGTCTACAAACGTCAAAACGCTGTCTAGCGTTTTGACGTTTGTAGGTGTTCGCGGTACAATTTTGTATGAAATACTATTTCGCGACGTCATACCTAGCTATTCTGAAATCATATTTAATGTTGATATCAAACCAATAAAAAATAAAATGATAATGCGAAGACAATAAGGCTAAGACTCTACTTTAAGATGTTACATTTAATGATGCATACGAAATAATCTATTTTAAAGCTAGAAATCTATCTTATTATGGTCGAAATTCTAATACCGGTCGGTCTTTACTTCATACTTCTTACTTTTCTCTTGTTAAATTTATTACAAATTAAATAACAAGAAAAAATTCAATTGCGATTGCATATTTATAATTAAATTATATTGTAAAAAGTGAAAAAGCAAGAGGACTTCGTGTGCTTCACGACATCAAGATCTTCCATTTATTAAAAAGTAAATATGATTTTGAATTAATTAATTTTGTATGAACGGAGGAATGATAGCAGCGTAGAGCACAAGAAGTGTGAATGCTTACTATTTGAGATAATATTGGTATTATATTGTAACTATTATATATATAATATTGCCACACGTTGCCAAACTACCGTCAAATATGCAACAATTTTTACACATTGTACACTTAACATCACTTTATTGCTACTTTTGTTAATGCCTATTACTTCGACACCCTAAAGTAGATATACCTCAGTTATTACCGATAAAAATTGATAATGAAATTCTAATACGTTCTCTAGTGTCCTTGGAAATTAAAAATGGAAAAATTGAGATTATATTGAAAGGGAAAGGTAGTTAACAAGGGAAAGCAATTACGGAAAGGAATATTGGTTATACCAATTGATTGGCAAATCTGAACTCGAGGTTAGGGTAGCATAACTGCAATTCAAACTGCCTGGTACCAGTAGCCCTTCTGTCTGTTTTTATGTAAACTGATGTTTAAATTTTTCGTAATATCCATCGACTGGCCTGTTGGTATAGTGGCTAGTGACCCTGACTGCTAAGCTGAAAGACGTGGGTACCATTTCCACCCAGGGCAAATAATTGTGTGATGAGCACGATCATTTGTTCTGTGTCTGGGTGTAATTTTGCTATAATATGTATGTATTTAGAAATATATAAGACGGTTTATCAGCAGTCTAGTACCACAGCACAGGGTCTGCATAGTTTGGGACCTAGTGACGGCCGTGTGTGAGATGTGTGAAGTTATTATAATATTACCAGCTGACTAGCGTAACTTTGTCTACGTCTCTCAAAAGGAGAATATATAAGGAGGAATAAATTTGCCCCGTTTTTGCAACATTTTTCATTGATGCTCGATTCCTATTGGTCATAGCGTAATGTTAAATAGCCTTCCTCTATAAATTTTTTTAAGTCAACTCCTG